GTGTGTGTGTGTGTGTGTGTGTGTGTGTGTGTGTGTGTGTGTGTGTGTGTGTGTGTGTGTCAATTAATTGTTAACAAGTTTTATTCCATCCAGTTATACACAACAGGTCATCGATGTGTACAATGAACCCAGAGGTGGGCTGCAATAACATTTTATTGTAAGGGGTGAAGCGATTATATTATTTCTTTAACCTAAATTTATCTTAATGCAAAGAATGACCCAAACAGATTAAATAACAAAGAAAATGGATTTGCAACTATTTTGTACCTGTTTATTTTACTAATTAATGCTATAACACTGACTCAGTCAGAAACGCAAAACATTTTTACAGCAACACCGTAAGCTTCCAATGTGAACCCGATTATAGTTCTTCACTGAAGTTAGTGAACGTTCACTACATTCTTTGTGTTCTGTCTGATTTATTGATGTATGGATTCCTGGGCTAAAGATTCACCTTTAAAGGCACATCTATAAATATTTAAGAGGCCATAACATACACTGTAGTCTCTCCCCTTTTTCCATTCATTGGACTGAGGAATATATGCTCTTGCTCCAAGGTACTCAGTGTTCCTTCTTGGGATTGTTTTTATTTTCTGCGCTTGGCTGACCGGCCTGGCTGGAGGGCTAATTTTCTGACTGGAGGAGCAGTTGGTGACTTTTATGGACAGAGAACACACTAATAATAAGTTAAATCATTTACTGCTTGAATTCAAAAGAGGAAATGCCCGTGGTTGTGGGAGGGACTTGAAGTTGATTGGATTGTTCTTTCTGGACCCACCTACCACTCTCTTGCAAATGGATGGTAAATGCTGTTGTACTTCTTCTCCCTTTTTCTGTCTTTTTTTTTAAATTACTCATTTGTTTTTTCCAAACTGTGAAACAGTGAGTAATTTGGGTTTTTTTAAAGTTTTTTTTCCTTTGTAAAATGTGCTTTCATGCAAATACACTAAGCCACAGTACACACGTTTGTAAATCTAACTTTGCGAGGACATTCATTTACGTTCCCCGGTCCCTCATCCTAACTGTCACAACTAGCTGCCAAATCCTTACCTGTGTAATCTGAACCTCATTCAACTCATAACCTTAAAGCCAAGTTAAAACAACAAGTTAAAGTTGAAAAAGCAGTGAGGGGCACAAATGACATCCATCCCAGTACTCTCTCAATTTTAAACTTGTCCTCACAAAGATAGCCATATAAGTACACTCACACATGCAGACATGCAGACACACACAATAGTTCTCAATGTTCTTATTTTTTAATCTAAAACTATGTGACAGTTGCACAGGAAATTTAGTGCCATAAGGAAGTATAGAAGAAATTTATTATTATTATTATTATTATTATTATTATTACAAGTGTACAAGTGTATATTGAAATGCAGTGTTGCTTTTACCTTGAAGTATTTGAATTACTTGCTTTATTTTATGATTCAGCTGGTTTTTCAGACTCAGTACAGTACTGCAGAAAATGTTTCTGTTCTTGTTTCTAATATATAACTGACAGACACATTGTTGCTAATAAAACAGTATGAAAATCTTCCTTTTTCTCATTCTCATTCATCTTCTAGATGAGTAACAAACCTCAGGGGTCATTTACCGCATTCATATTTGTGCATGAAGATGCTTGCGTCGGTGAACTTTTATACAAAATTGAGGCTTTTCAGAAAAAGATTTCATTAGCGTGCATTAATGTAATCAGAATGTGTATAGCACACTGGACACTACTAATCACATGTGATCTTCTAAATGCAGGTTAAATATCAGCAAGCTGAAGCGCTTCGTGTGGAGGAGAATTCTCCAAGCAATAAATGTAACTAATTTTGTCTTGCAGGAATAGTTTTGTTGAGATTGCTCTCTAATGGAAAATTATTTTTTCTTTGTATTTCAGGGTTGTTGTTTTTTTGTTTTGTTTTTTTAAACAGCAATCTAATTCTGTTTCATTGGGTGTGTATGTTGCCAGTTTGTTGTTGAAGGACTCAATGAGCTGACATCTGTGGCTTATATTGGCTCAAAGAGGGATATTATTGTTATTGCCATGGACCATCTGAAAATTGTGCTCTCTAAAGCTTACATGTGTAAATATATCTAAAGGTGAACCACTGAACTTACTAATATTGTTTTTCAATATCAATTTCAGCTATGCAGCAACAGATCAAACAATAACATAAGAAAGCAGTGATTCCTGCTGAGGCTTGGACTACAGCAGGAGCAATAAAGTCTGTTTATATACAGGTTCTGTCTGCCCTTAGGCAACAAGGTGAAAGCCATGACAGCAAACACAACTTAACGGGAAGGGTAACAAGCAAGAATCAGGAGCAGTCAGATGAAAAAGAAACAGTTAGAGGCTAGGAGATGATGATTAATGAAAAACCATTCAGACATGTAGGCTAAATGATACAAAAAAGAAAATGCAAATCTTTATTTGGGCAATAAACTGAATGAGTCAGAGAGGCATGGCAAGTAATCATACAACGGGAAAACAACTGAAAACTATTTCAGAGAGGAAATAGGGGTAGTTATTAGAAGGATGAGTCAGAGGACATGAATGAAAAATAGCACATACCACAGAACACACAGACAGATGGAGGCGTAGAATAGCTGATTTCCAATCCAGAGCTCCCTGGCTCAAACATGAATAGCTATTTTGTGATGGCATTAACACAACAGAACTGCTTCAGACATGAAAAACCTTTCAGATTGTGATGGATTCCCTTTGATGTGGATATATATTCAAACTCCTACTTATTTCTACATGAATTGCCAGCACTGTAACAGGGAATTACTGTCACACTAGCATTCCACCCACAAGACAAACTAGCAGGAGATGTGTTTTTTTCTCTTTACAGTCAGCATAATTTATATGTAGTGATACTAGCACCAACAGAGACAATAGTGGACCATAAGTTGCACGGCAGCTGGATAGCAAAAAGCTTGATTTGCAAAGGTTCAGTGATGGTGTATTTATGTTGGTTTGTTATACATTTACATTTTCTAGAGGGAAAAAGGCTAGAGTCTGATCAAATTTGATCTCATTTTCATGTCAGCATTACTGCTTATGGAAAGGAAGAATAATTACAGATCAGCTATGAGCCCAGCTCTGTCAAAAGTGAAATCAACAAAGGCACGGATGATGGTCTGAAAAGCTAAATATAAACAGATTTCACTCCTTCTGCAAGCTGCCTCTAAGATTTATTCTAATCAAATACCAAAAATCTATTTTTGAATGGATCCCTTCAGGCTATTTATTTACATCTGTACTTGTGCTATATTTGTGTAAATGAGAGGTTGTGCAAGCTATATGAATTATTTAGAGGAATAATCACCTGCAGCGTAAGTAGCACGGCCTTTCAAAGTTTATTGATGTTTTATAGTGTGCTTTGCATCATCCACTTCAACCAGGAGCAGTATGCTCACTCTAACGTACTCTGTCTGTCCAGTGAATATCTGCAGATTTCTCTTACTCTGTGCCTATGTTACGGTCCCTGACCCTAATTCCCCAGCAGGAGGAGCTGGGAATCCATGAATTATGAACAGGATAGATAGGAAATTTTCCAGCTAATATTCCAACCCAAAGCTTCTTGCCTTTTCTCTTTTTCCTCCTCATTGCCCAAACTGTCATGTTCCTTGCACTTCACCTTCCTATTTCCTTTTTCTTCTCCAGGCAGACCTTTTTTATATTTCCTTTTCTTGGGGCCTGTTCCACTATGCTTTCTTCTATTTATCTTATAGGATTGAAGAAAATATTGGATTGAAGAAAATGAGATTTAGACAGAAAAAAGTTAGAAAGAAAGCAGTTAGTTAGAGTCTGTTGGAGCTGCCGGCATCAAATGATGCACCCATGTATGTCTCCGATAAAATTCACACACACACATCAGTATTCTTGAAGTGTGTAGGTGCACTTCGGTCCAACAACTCACATTTGAAATGGTTGATTTATTACAGCAATAGGTTACACTTCGAGTTTGGTGTCCAGGCACTGAGCTCATCACTCCCCACAAATAAGATGCACATAGAAACTGATGAATAAATATCCCTCCACCCCAGTGCTCACAGGTGGATGCTGGGTTGGTTGAGGGAGTGAAACAGCACCCCTTGCATCGCTGCATGGTGTCAGAGGGAGAGATGAGAAGTTCTGCAGCTTCATTACACTGCCAATTTGGGAGGGTGCATTTGGTACATGATGAGAGGAGAGTCTGGCATATTCGTTTTTATGATACAGTGCAGTACAAGTTGCCTGCCTGAGCTAGTTTAGATGTTTTCTTTGGTTTTAAACATCGACACTATGACCAAATGTGGCAACTGTAACCAAATATTGCACAGCTGGTTGCTCATAAGGTGTTATTTCTTGTAAATATTCCTTTATATTTTCATCCCTAAGACTCTCTGCTACCAATGTGGACATCACACTGGCTGCTAGAAATACAACCTACATTTAAAACCAACCATGAATTGATGAAACACTTTGCTCAAAGTATAATTATAACATACAGACATACACTGGCATTACCACTGTTATCTTGCTATGAAATCCAAGCAATTTATCATTAATGCAGTAATTTGTATATATTCCCTTAAATTAACAAAACTTAGACTTGGAGATAAATGATCTTGTCGGGAACAGAAACACACATCACTCTCTGATTTTTACTGCTGTGTCAGAGATAGGCAGAAATAGACATCCTCCATAAATCTCTCTTTCCCACACGCAGACATGACTGCATGCTGGAGCCATTACTGCCCAGTGTGTGTAATATTGCAATTTCTGAAAGGAGGAAAGGGCATTCCTCCTGTCTGAATTTTTCATTCCCCATGCTCTCTGTTTCTGTATAACAACCAATAAATAAGCAATGAATCCCGAGGACATAACACAAAATGGACTGGATTTTATGTCCACCACACCCCAACATCAGCTCCCCCTAGATACACAATTTGTCTGTCTTTCTCTTCCTGCTTCACCTGCTTTTTTGTCTC